TGTCTGAATTCTCTTGTCCTTCTGCCAAGTTCTGAGCCAGTCTCGGGTGAGCCTGCTTTCGGTTACATTCAGTGCTTCCTAAAAGGAAGTTTCTACCAGTGTGAAGGATGGAGCCCCCTGCAGTGGGCCCCTTCAGTCAGCTGCTGCACCCTGGTCTGGTATTTAGTAACCCTCTCCTTCTTCTGTGCATGGCTGGTGATGGGGTAGCAGTGAGACTCTTCTTAAGCTTGTGCCTGATTATAATCTGCCTGATGGGCATTTTTAAGGATCTTTCAGAAGCACTATCACACAGAAAATACTTAATCAGAAAAAATAGGTTGTCCTGCTATTCAAAGAAATCAATGGGATGGTCAGAGTCCTATTATTATTATTATTATTATTATTATTATTATCATTACTTGTTTTTTTAACATAAAGCTTCCAGCTACATATATAACTATTCAGATAAGCTGATACTGCTAGTTCCAACCAAACCTAATTATGAGTTCCTAATTTGATTTAGTGGCTGAAAGATTTGGAAAGTCCTTGTTTGAATTCTTAGTGAAATTAAAACAAAATTCCTTTGTACCTACGTTACGGTGAATTTTCATGAAAAATTGACAACTCAGAAAACTTCATAATTAAGAGTGTCTGCTCCTATAAAGAGCTCAGAGTTTAAATGAAATGCAGTTAAAATCCAAAAACATTTGTTTGTGTATTATGGAAAGGAATTATGATTTGTCTACTGAGCAAGGGACTTTTTAGTTTCACTCTTCCAAAATTTGTGTTCAAAGTACTCTCATCAAATATTGGGTGAGGTATACACACTATGTAGTGATGTTCATTTTGGTTTATAATAAATTTAATTTATTGGCTTTAGGACATCCCTAATATTTTTAACTTAAAACACTTTTTATAAATGAGTCTTACACCCTGAGGACAGGGTACCCTGTATCTAACTAACTCTGTGTCCCCTGGGTCCACAGCGTCCTGAGCATACAAAATGTAGACAGTCAAAACAATGCCAGGTTACAGCTCTCTGGGCCATGGCCTGTTTGCCATGTGACACTGAATTGTGTACGTATAAAGTTCTGAACATTTTGTTTGAACATGCCTCTTTAATACTTGCCATTTCAATTTAATTAGAGCAAATATTCTCAGGGTTATCATCTTCCTATCAACTTCTGGGATAAAGGCATCAAAAACATTAAGATCAGAAGAAGGGGAATATGAATTGAAGTCCATAGACTTTTATTGATTTACGTACTTGGGGAAAGGCCCAGTGCCAGGTGTTGGAGGATGACTAAGGTAACAAGCAGAGTTAACATTTACTGAGTACTTACTAGATGATCAACACTGTAAGTGAAGTCAGAAGTACCTTACATGCATTGACTCATTAACTCTCACAATGCTAAAATGTATCGGGTTTTGCCATCGGAGGCCTTACAATCTAGGATAGCCTTCCTCTTTCCTTTCTCCTTTTTATTTCTTGTGAACACTATCCTGCCCCACAGAGTCAACCTGGAGGGAGAGAGGGAGGAAGGGAGTGGAAAAGGGGAAGGGGGAAGGGAGAAGGAGAGAGGGAAAGAGAGGGAGGGAGGAAGAGAGAGAGACAGAAAGAGAAAAAGGAAGAACGGATTTGGATTTTAAAGTCTGGCTTCATTTCAGTAGGAGGCAGACTAAACAACAATAAATTTGAATTTTTGTCAAAAATTATCTTCACAGGCCTCAGAGCAGGATGCCAATCTTCTTGAATGAATGCTTCAATAAATCTGTCATCATTTTAAAATTTATTAGCAAAATTCATTTTCATTTTTATAAGCATCTTAGTTTTGCTCCAGTGAACTCCTTTTCCCCTTTAAGATTCAACTGATGAAGAAGAGTGAACACTCCACCCCCTCAGAATTCTATTGTAGGTACTGGAGAATTATAGCCAAAGATATATTGCAAATTATTATATACGGTAAAAAGCAAAAGTACAATGAAATATTCTTCATAACCAAAAAGCAGAGATATATTGAAACATTCTGATTATTTTTTAAAAAGTAAACCCAAGGTATCATATAAGTCCTTACACAATAAATTGTGACTTTTCTAAAAACCAAGCAAGTCAATTCTTTCCACCTCCTCCCTGTCCCCCCAGATAAAACCCATTACAGGGTACTTTTTGTCTTAGTATGGAGAAGACAAGCAAAGCTGGCCCTGGGGGACCAGAGACAGAGCACCCTGCAGTGGGTGCAGCCTCAGCATCTCCTCCTGGCACAGGCAGGTGACAACGGAAGGATATTCTCTTCTGGAATTTCCAAGAATTCCTGGGTCAGCTACTACCCAGGAGATCTGAGGCCAAAAACCCACTGTTTGAGCAGAGAGGAAATAGGCAGGGGATTCCTTAAAGGATGGAGGGTTTCACTGCCACTTCAGGACTGGCAATTCCCCTGTTAGTGAATTAGAGTGCTACATTTTGAGAGGACTGCTCCTGTGTAGGTGACTGGCAGATGCAAATGTGTACCTAAAAACAAGAGATGTGTCACCTCAGAAGATAGCGCTGGAAGGTGTTTCCCTTGGGCAACGGCCTCCATCCTCCCCTCTTCAAGCAACAGTTAGCAGGGATTTGTCTGAGGTTTGAACAAAAGACCAGATGGGAATTCTTGCTGTCAGGCTGTGTCCTCAAATATGCAGGGCTGAAAGCAAAACAACTGCCTGCCTCTGGGCCAGATCTTCAGGGCCCCGTGGAATAAAAAAGGTTAGTTGCCTTCCTTTCCCTTTAATCAGTCCTGTGCTTTCTTCAGAAACCACATGCCACATTCTCTGGTCCATCTCATTTTGAAAAGTACGAAAAGACTTTGAACTCCTCGGGGCCTGGCATTTGAACTCCGGTTCTTTCATCTCTTCCCTCAGAACCTGGTATACAACATGCCCTGCACTTTGCTCATTAATTCTGCTGACCAAGTAACAAGACTGGTGAAAGTTTTTTAAAAGTTCAGGCTCCACTTCACGCTCTCATCAGATGCCTGGGGAATACACCGAGAGAGGTGTCAGGGGATCACATCTCCGTTGATGCTTCTGCAGCGGAGGCCGGGCCCTGATCCAATAGGCATGTATGTGCTGCAAGACCTCCTCAGGGAGCATACAGTTCATTATTCTGGTCCTATCCTAAGCAGACTGTGAAATGATCCACAATTCTTACTTGGGAAATTGACAAGTTATTTGAAAAGAAACATCACCAAAACAAACAAACAAAAAAGCCACAGGTTCAAATGAGAATTTCTGACTGACGCAATTCTTTTCTCCTACACCTACCTTGTCAGGATATTAAGAATCCAAGTTTCATCTCAACTTGCCCCTCATCCAGAAGCTTCACAAAGGATGAAAAGTGCTTTTGATAGAAAGAATTTATTTCTTTATTTGAAGATCTTGTTGAACTTAAGAAATTCACACAAATCCTTGCTCTCTTGTTTTGCTATGTGAAGGTTTGTAGAATAGAAATCTTGTGAGGAAGGTGGTCTCCTCAAATAAACAAACCTGAGAGTAAAGCAGTCCTGAGGAATCTGCTCTGGGTTTAGTAGGAGACATATGTCATTGACACATAAGTGCTGGGTTTTTTTCAGACAAGGGATATATGGCTTCAGAAAATAGTGGCATGGTGCCTACTTGTATGTTAAGCTTCTGAAAGATTAAAATGAATGGAATTTGAGGGTGAAAGGGGAAGTTTCTAAGGCAGTGGTTCTCAAACTTTGGCATGCATCAGAATTTCCTATAGGGCTTAAATCAGATTGATTGATGGATTTCACTTCCCAACACCCCCCGTAGCCACTAGACATTTTTGATTCAGTAGGTCTTGGGTGGGGCCCGCTAATTTACATTTCTAGTAAGTTCCTAGATGATGCTGGTGCTACTGGACTGAGAACCACACCTTTGAGAACCACTACTTCAAGGAAATTAAAGCCCTTTCTCTATATGCCTGTATGCAGGAGCTTTTTCTTACGATCATCACTCGCACCCCTGACATTCTCTTCTACAGCCCTGGAGAAACAGAGCATCCTGACCACCCTGCGGTCTTGGTGACCTGATCCTTTCAGAATCTTGATTTTGGCTTCTTAATAAATTAGCAAAGATCCTCGATTCCTGGTCACCTGTAATCTTTCTGTTAAAAAGTCTGTAACAGGTGTGTGTTTTATTCACTTGTACAGATGAGGAGACAGATCAAATCTACACCATCTCTGTAATTTTCCTTTTTGGCAATGATGGCAATTATGGTTCTTCCTAGGTCCTTTGGACAATGCCCTTCCACTCAGACAAGCAGTCTCCCTTGGTGTCTCATGTTTTGAATGAGCTTTTCCCTTGCCTGCTTTTATAATACCAATGGATTTATACATAATTCAATTATATATAAAACTCATTGTAAATTCAATTATATATATCCATTGGTATTGTAAAAACAATACCAATGAGCGTTTTAAATCAGCAACTCCCAATAGACAGAGCACACAAAGCAAGGTTCTCTCTAAGCTTCTCTTCTTTTCACAACCCAAGGAGTGACACCCCTAGCTTGGTACCAAATGGGGCCAGCCTTTTAATTACAGGTTAGGTGACAGAAGATTTATGGGAAAAGAAGTCTAATTCCCCAGCATGTTGGCTCGGAAGCTAGAAAGCTTCTTCAGGGATTAAACAATTCCCATGTAAGAAGTACACTGACTAAAACCAAGTTTTACCCATATTTTAGCATCAGCTGTGGCTGCCGTACTCTGGAAAAGGATTTTTATGGAAACAGGCAAACTTCCCTGAAAGAAGCATCATGGCCCCAGATCTGCGTACGGAGAAACAACTGGAGCAATTTAAATCACTCTGTTCCCAAGAAGGAGTTTAAAGTTCTATTAATAAAAAGCAGAGTCACTCAAAGATGGAAGTTTAGTATAATTCAAACAAAAGTGAGTTATAGGGCCATTTCCCAATACTTATGCCCCATCTGAGATTTGGAAGATCATGATACCTCATGGGTCTGTGGTAGTTATCAGCGTTACCTGATTCATCGACTCTCATTTTTTTGGTAGGGCTGTCACAATTCTCATCGTCAGACATTTCCATTTCTTCTTCGCGGCGGATGCCCATGAGCTGCTCACTTTGGGCATTCCGGAGCTCCTGCAAGTAGAGGATGCACACAAGTCAGAGTCACAGACACGTACGGCTTTCCCCAATGGTCTTTGGGTATATATGACTGGCATATTAACGTTCAGAATCCAAGGCTTTTATCTCCCAAATATAACCTCACCTAACCTAAAGGAGGTTCTGAGGGGTGTGGGGTAGAGAGTAGACCAAGGTCAGGCTTAGATTAATCCCTGCTCACCCATGACTAGTTAAGGGCTCTTTAGCAAATAATTTAATCTCTCTTGAGTCTCCATTTCCTCATTTGTACAAAGGGGATAATAATATCCACCTAAGAGGGCTGCAAAGATTACACAGAAATACCTGTCACATGGCTGGCCCATGTACAGTAAGGACTTAGAAATTATGGTTAAGAACATGAACACTGGAATTTTAAAAAAGGACTGTTCTGCCATTGACCTATGGTGTGACATTAGGAAAGATTCTTCATCTCTATTAACCTAAATTGCTCACTGGAGTATTATGATTAAAAATAGTTTTGAGGATGAAATGAATTAATGCATGTACAATACTTAGCATCATGCCAGACACTTGGTTGGTCAGTTGATAATGCTGGACATTATTATTTCTCATGCAAACATAGTGCCCCTGCATGTGTGTATGTGCTCATGTGTGATCACACACACACACACCATTCAGATATCCAAAATTTAAAATCAGTAAGATGTTAGGGAACAAAACACAAACAGATGCCTTTTCTTTTGTATTGCACATGGTCATGTAGGGGTTATTGTTTTTGTTGCAGTGGTTGCTTTAGCATCATGTTTAGAGCCACAGATCTTAAGATCACATCTTACTTTCTCCACTTATTAGGGGAGTGGCTACAATCAAGTTATTTACTTTATTTGAGACTTTGTCTATTCACTCACAAGTGAGGAATAATAATACAAGCTGTTTGGATGCAGTAGCATATGTGAAAACTCATTGTAAAGAGTAAAGAATCACACAGTACATTTCTTACTACTGTGCCTAAAATCAGAACACTGTAATCACTTATGCTAAGTATTTATATTATTATTTTGTATCAAGATGTATATTACATATTTGTGAATCCTTCCTTATTCATTCTGTTCTCTCACATGTACTATCTTCAGAAATACTTAAAACAGGGAAAGCCTCCATTATTCTTTTTTCCCTCTGTAAAGTCTCCAAATAAAAATCAAATAGTTAATTTCACGTTGTGATCAATAAACATATGAGTAACAATAAAACTAAATTATTACAACTAATTTATTAGGGGCGTGACTTTAAACATGGTTCCAGTGCCCATTTGATGGACATGCATATATCACTCCATGTTGTGGGTTCTCTCAATTCTTTTCTCTCCGTAGCTCACAGATTTTAACTACGGCATGATGGAGAGGAAACTATTTATTGCTAACAGTATTTGAATGGTCAGCTCTGTACCCTGGGAATCACCCTTGCAGAGGACAGGGAAGGGAGAAAGCAGAGAGACAAGGTCCAAGATGGGGTGCAGGGGCACCAATCAGAGGCAGCCCTGAGAGGCCAGAGGGATGGCAGACAAGGCCTCCTTATTTAATTATGCCACCCAGAAGAAAGAGGTGCCAATTCCATCTTAAATAACACCATCAGGCATTGGAGGCGGGTGTCACATGTGATTAGTGGGGAAATTTTTAGGCTGTGGACAGCTAATTTTTCTACTGACAAAGAGCCCAATTCCCAAAGAGGTGGCTTGAAAACACTTGAAACAAGGAAAAGTCAGGTGGAAAGAATAAATGAGGCTGAAAGGGCCTGTTGTTTAGTCCCTGCGATTAATGACAAACTGTCATATGGTAGTTGTTCTTGTGGGAAAAGGTGGTGGAAAAGAAAAAAAAAATCGAGGAGAAAATGCTGAGGCTGTTTCCACAGGGTGCCTCTGGTTCAGCATTAAATCACTAGTACACTCTAATAAATCTGTAGAGGTGCTGCAGATAATTAACAGATGCTGTACATGGGAATGTGGGAAAAAATCAAGCCAATTATCAAGCTTGTACGCAACTGAGAAATCATCCACAATGTTAAATTACCAACTGGTATCTAATCAATTAAGCGACATGCGAGAGAAAAATCACAGCTAATTTAGAATTCTGGGTCCTAATGTATATCAAAAGAGGTGGGGAAAGTAGCAGGAAGGCACAAAGACCCTTCGCTGGAGCACCTTTGACAGCTGCACTCCACGTGTCCCTCGGGAGCATCATTTCTGTCTCCTAGTACCGAACAAAGCAAGCAGGCTTCCTTAGACCTGCATGGAAGCCTTCACACATCCTGCTCCCCACCACACGCGCGCGGAGGAGGCAGGGTGAAGCGAAGGTGAGAAGCTGAGGCAGACGTGGCAGGAAGCGTGATTCGGATCAATATGTGACATTTGCTGACACTCACATTCTAATGATGGCCTTTTTATGCTCAGGTTTATTCGGTAGCAGGCCACCGGCCTTTCTCTCAACATTCCTTTTAATCACGTTTGGTTTTTATGTGAAGAAATAAACAATTCACAGATTGATCATTCCCAAATCTGAATCAGAGTTTATGGGCTCCAATTTGTGTTTTCATAACCCTCAGTTTGTATATTGCATCACAAACAGAGGACTCTTTTTTTTAATCTTGAAAATCAACCTTGACCTGAGTCTTAAGTCAGAGTCAGGGAGAACATCAGGTAAGCACCCTGCATTTTTCTGGTCCTTGAAAAATTAAAGAGAAATCCCACCTCTTCCTTACTCATAATCTTGAACAGAAAAACAGAACTGAATCAGTCACCAACCACCATAGGCATTAGTGAACAAAATAAAAAATGTCCTTCTTAACAATAAATTGCACTAGCATTTTAAGTGTCACATTATTGTGAAGTCATTCAGTATTCACCATAATAACAGTGATAATAAAGAATTCATTTGGTATTCATGTGGATGTTACATCTAGTGCTATTGGTATTCAACTGTAATTTAGCATTAGTTAATGGGCACTTAAAATGCTACCCAAATGATTGATCCCATAGTACTTTGTGATTCCTCAAACTCTATATAAAATACTTATTTTACAAGTGTGAGTCAAAATCATTAAATAAATAAACCTTACCTTCCGTAAGTTTGGGATTTTGAAAGAGGGGAATATCATTTAGAGAACTTTAATATTAACATGCTAGAGATGGAGCGGCATCCAAATGAAAAACATTCTTTCATTAAAAAAAAGAAGCAAAGACAGTATACTTACTTTTAAATTACAGGTTCAAAGCGTACGCTACTCTGTGGAGTTAAAAATAACAGCTGGACGACCAATGACTAATGATACATTTTGGTCCTTCTAAGTGGCAAGGAGGTCAAATTCTCGGCTGTTCTCTTGGGGGTAGATACTCACACTTCACACATGCATGGATGCTGATGGGTGGACCCAGTTGGCCTAGATATTCACTCCCCTTACAACACTGGCTCTGGAGAGAAGTGTAATAGGACTTAACGGCTAGCATAGGGGACTCAGATGCTCCTTATGATGAGAAAATATGGACGGAAAGGCATCCTTGTCCAAAGAGCAAACTGTCATCATCGCGTAGAACACTAAAAAAAACCCCTCTGTATTTAAAAGCCAGTTTTCTATTGTAAGTTTCATTTTTCTTTAAGATAATTTGCTAGGGAAAGGGTCTTGGTTGATTTCTGAGATCTTTATTATGAATGGGGAAAGTTATTTTCTCCCATTGCAGGGGAGAAAAACACTCTGTTCCATAAGTGTTAAGTCAGCTGCTTTTCTGGACAAGGAACAAATCTCAGCTGCATTTGGAACTGACAGTGAGATCAGACAATGGCAGGCGGACTGCCCACTGTAACAGAAACTATCATGGCTGCAGCCATGCTACTCTCTGCCAATCCAGCTGTGTGATGGTGGTTAAAAAGTAATAATAAAATCACCAACCTCAGAATGCTTTCGCCAAATGTCTATGTTCTTGCGCTGGGCTTTCGAGAAATGGTCCCAAGCTTTTTGTCTGGTAGAAGCGTTGAAAACGGCCACAATCTGCTCAACTTTGGTGAACAAGGAAGTCAAACAAGACAAGTAATTTATGTTGTGATCACTATAGGGAAGCAAAGCAAAGACACTAGGAGTCTATGGATGATGTCACAATAGAAACAACATCATCAATATCCATCCAATTTGTGCCTTTCGTACTTACATTTTAGCAAGGTTGGGGATGTCTCCCTTCAAGTCTGTCTCCATAACTTTAGGTTAAAACAAATTCTAAGTATGACTGGGAAAAGGGCATGGGCATCTACTTGCAAGCATTCTTTAGCTGTTGTTTCAATATGTGATTTGGTCTATCTATATACCTAGATCTATAGATATATAGACACTGGTGTTGGCATCCAGATATACAGACAAAGTAATGCCAGGGTTGGGTGCAGAGAAGTGAAGCCAGGGAGAAGTGGCTGAACAAGGAAGAGCCAAACATATATCATTTTCTCTTTTGGTCTCTATCTCAAGGACTCAGTCACGGCCCTCTCAAGACATTATCATGTCCAAGTTCCAAGTTGGGACAATGAATAGCCGTGCCATACCTCCCCTCAATCTCAGGGGGTCATTTTTCCTCCTTGGCTCCTTTTTCTCCCCCTGTTGCACCTACTGCAGCCAGCCCTCCAGCCCTCTGGCAGGGAACAGGAACCATAGCCTCTACCTCAAGACAGACCAAAGCTCACCCAACCAGCGGCAATGGCATGCGGTCTTATTTCAACCACCATATGGCGCCCTCCATAGCTCCTCACGATCACATTCCGTTATCACTTTCACAAGGCTCCCCGCCCTCTGGCTCCCAAACCACAAGAAGTTCTAACTCTATCATCTTGACTTAATTTAATACTTCTGCTGCTTCCAGGCCTGGTGCTACTGGACTGGTAAATGTTGAGGGTTGTGAACAAAACTACATAGACAAAGGCATGGGTTCTTAGTAGTGGGTATTACGGGTGGGGCCAAGTAACTGTGGACTTAATCTTGTTTAAACAGTTACTGATCCAGTAAGCATGAGATTAAGGAAATTAAAGCACTGAATTAATCATATGATTAAACCTGAACTTCTAAATTTTTAGTTAAGAAGGCACACTTAAAATTAGCTTCTCAAGGATTCTAACACCCTATCAACATAAATCTTTCATACGTGATTCCCAAGGCTCTATTATAAAAAAGGACATCAAAGCTCTTCTAAATCTTCTGGTGTCCAAAGAATGTTAAAGAGCAATAGATTAATCCCCACAGAAGAACAACACTTGGTGCCACAATTTTTAAAATCAGCACACAAAATAAGTGTATGATGCAGCAGAAGGAAAAAAGCAGATTCCATTCACTTACAATATCGTGAATACTTTTCTATGCTGATGAGCAACTACTTCTCAATCTATGGCTGATTTTCACAGCGGGCTTTTATCTTTTTGCTATTAATATTTTTTCACTATTTTCCACTTCAGGAGAATCCCAACCCCAAATCTCCTTATTTAGCAAAACCTGTCATCATATCACATGATGAATTTATTTCACTCAATTTTAACAGGAGGATTTGCCTTCGGTTTGGCTCATACTCTCCTTGGGCACACGTGGCTTCCCTCCTCGACCTCAACTGGAAGAACTAAACACCAGACTAAACACCTGGGGCTGCTCTCAGTGCTAGTCTTCAGCTGACCACTGACCCTTAGTGCTCTGGTTGGCTGCCCTGCAGCACAGCCAGCAGAGGAGAGAACCTGTTCCAGTGGACCGCTGGGGCTTTCTGCATGTTTTGTCTGTACACAGGCTGGGATAATTGGGAATTTCAGCTGCCTTCTGTAGAGGCAACGCAGAACAGTCAGCCCCAAATTTAGGCTGGCAGGGGTGGTGATCAAGAGGTTACTAAAGAGTAATGGGCTCCGTTGCTTATAATAACAGATCTCTTTGGCATCATTTAGAAGAGGAAGAACTATGATGTCCTGACAGCAGTCCTGAGGGGAAAGGAAAATATGGGTTGAGACTGAGTGTTTAGGTGGTAATAGTGAAAATTCTGACATCAATCATAGAAGGCTGTTAATAAAAATGAAACACTAAAGAAAAGTATATCTGTTCATAAAAACGTGTAAGGGGCCACAGAGAATGAAGGTAAGGAAGATCAGTAATGCACCTGGAGGAGTACAGAAAAGAAAGAACTAAGAAGAAGGACCCAATGGCCCAATAGGGCACAGGTTTGGGGGTAAAAGGAGATTCCCTAATATCTACTCAAGCCATGTGCTATTAGATATTTGCTGTTTGTGGCTAAGTGCCTCAGTTACTTAGAGCACGTTATTACCGTATCCCAGGGCATAAGTTCATTCATTCATTCAACAAACATCTGGATTCCTACTAGCTACCAGGAACTTGACTAATTGCTAGAAATATATGATCAAGGCCCAGTCCTGTCCTTGATGCAGTCATAGTCTCAGAAGAGAAAGAAAGACAAGCAGATAATTATCCTGTGTAAGAGAGGTGCAGACGACAGCTTTGACGACACAGAGAAGAGAAGAGAGTAACTTAAGTAGATAGGTGGAATGAGAAAACATTCCACAAATAAGGCAACATTTCTGCCAAATCTTAAATAGTGAAGCAATGCTTGCTTGGCAGAGAAGGCAGGGGTGGCCTGTTCAAAGGCTGGTGTAGAGTTGTGGGAGGAGGAGTGAAAGCAGCTGTGGGGCTGGGGCTGGGGCTAGTGTTAGGTATGAATCAAGAGGGACCAGGTATGCTAACTCTGATTGGGAACTTCATATTGTAGGATTGGCTTGGGAGAAATTACAAAGGAATGAATTAAGGCAGAGGCTCTGGCGTGGAGTGTGGCACAGGCAGTCATGTGACAGGGAGACTTGATAGGAAGAGGCAGCTGATTTGCTACATGGGAGGAGGAAGAGTGGTGGGAGGTACCACGATGACTGGAGCTGGGAAGTACATCCCAAACTACGAGAACAAGCACCGGTGGAGGGCTGAGAAAGAAGATAAGGAATTTGCTTTCGGACATGTTGAGTTTGAGATGCCTGAAGACCATCCAAACGGAGCTGAAATATGGATTAGGGGTTCAGAAAGAAGTCAGAATTCAAAGAAATATGTCCAACATTTTCTGGGCCATCCTCAGTTTCTTGTATTCTTTTTCAATAGGGTAATGAATTAGATGTAAAACTCAGTGGGATTTAATTTTATACTTATGAACTTACACACTTTTTTCCCTATACCAATCAAAAAGCAAAGCAAAACAAAAACAAAACAAAAAAATCCAACAAAACCCCAATAACTGTGTAACTCAGCTTATATTTGGAAACCACCCACAGTATTCACAAAGCCCAGTTTACTTCTCTCATTGCTGGACACACTGTCTCTGAACCAGCCATTTGTCTTGCAATTGAAAGTTCTTGGGCACACATGAAAAAGGACTCTGGAGAAGTGCTTGGATCAGCATTAATTCATCATCATTAGGCAAAAAGCACCTCTAAGAGTATGCCCTAATGAATGTCATTCAAAGACAGCATATTTTTAAACTCATAAATCAAGATGACTACTAGTATTGATGTAAATACACTATTCAGTGCTTATAGCAGGAAACACCAGAGAGGAAGTCCATGAATTAGATGACCACTTACTACCTCTCTGCTATAATTCATACTACTTACTCTATCTATATACAATAAAACCTGTTAAGTAGTTACTATCTGAACAGGCTCCTCAAAACTTTGCTTCTCAGAGAAAGATATAACCAGCAAACAAGGTGGCATTGGCATTTGTCCAAAACAAGCAGCTTATAGAAGTTGTGCTGCAGGTAGAACAAATTGAGACCAACTCCCTACCCAATGCCTTCACCACCTTAGTGGTCTACAGAGTGGTGGCTAGAGGCCCCACACAATCCTGTATCAGACAAAAAGCATAGATTCTGTTCTGATTGCCACTTACTTATGCAAGAAAGTAAACTCAAAAATTTTGCAGGTAAAGGAATGTTTTTTCTTTGAGGGATAACATTTTCCCACATCTTCTAATAGCAACTGAAAGAGCTCTCCATCAGAAAATTTAAATTTACCCCTCACACTTTGCAAATCTTTCCCCCCAATTCTGTGTTTTAATTGTTTTGCCTAAATTAGGGATTCGAGAATCATAAGAAAATTAAAAATGATAAATTCTTCAGAAGTAGGCCTGAATGCCAGTCTTGGATATCACAGTAGACTCCCTAGTATACTCAGCAGCTATCAATGACCCTAAGGGCGGGATAAACAGAGCTTTGATGAAGTTGCTAATCACTCCATACAGCTGCAAACCCTCACTAGTGGTTATTTATTAGCTTACACATGTGTATGAGTGGAGAGACATACACTCACCCAGCATACATACATTACACACATATATGTATATATTCTTCCAATTTTAAACAAATCCATGAGACTAATTTAACAACTTTTTTTTTTTGCGCTTTTCCCCACCCCAAAATGTTTGGACATTTGCTGAGTTTAGAGCATACTTCTTACTGATAGAGAAATTTACAGACTATCATGAGAAGCACTGGTCTTTAACCTTCTCAGGGAGGGAAAGCTCAGAACAGGAGGACATCCATTTAGCCAGGACAGACCACACTGAAGCAAGTCCCCTGGGAAAAAGCAGCCACTGGGCACAAAAGCTCAGATTCCTGGGCTGCACAAGACTCCTAAATTTTGAGCTCTGGGCAGGAACGCATGGGAAGTGATGAAAGAGAAAGGTTAGGGTCCTCCAGAGAACACAAATACAGCCCTTTTCCCTTCATGTCCTGCTGACTGCATTGTTTCTCACAGGCCCGGCACCTCTTGTATTCCTTGTTCCAGCTAAAGAGCGGTGAAAGAGCCTTAATTCAGTTCGTGTCCCAAATATCTGGAGAAACTGATCAAGTCCTTACAGGCAGTAGGCGTACCTAAATAAAGTACCTCAAACAAATCTTCCAAGCTTAATTTTTGTTTTTTAATGCTACTTGGGCTCATGATAGAGCCTCAAATCTGTAGGGTGAAGAGGACATTTTTTTCCTTTAAGGAAT